AAATCCTAGTCATCTTACACATTGACCATAGCCTATTTAAACTTTTTGTTGTTATTGTTCAACAAAGACATGTAAATATCCACACTTAAACTTCAAAACACTACTGAGAGACATTAAAGAAGAATGTAAGTGAAGGACGTAAGTGACAAGGTATACCATGTTCATGGATTCTAAGATTCAATAATTTTAAAAAGTCAGCCTTCCTTAAGTCTACTCATGCATTTAACTCAATCTATCTTTTTTTTTAATATAGAACTTGACAAGTACTTTTATATTTTTAAGGAAAACATAAAGAACAAAACAGGAGAAAAATATTGAAGTAAACCTGAAAAAGATTGAAGTTGAAGAATTTGCCTAACTTCAAGAGTCACTTCTGTGAATGTGTGTATGTGTACATTATTATATCTGGAACTCTAAGAAACTTAAGTGGAAACTATTGACAGAGAGTTATGTGCTTTGATATTAAAGGTTTTAAGATTCAAAATTTTTGATTCTCATTTTTAGGATCCACTGTTACTAAATGTTTTGTTTTAGTATAGGAGTGAAGAGTTGTTTTTTTCATGTTGATATCCATATTTTCTAAGATAATATAGAAATATTTTTTCTTTTGACTTACTTTTAAACAGAACTAAATAATCATGTAAGTATAATTCTATTTTGGTCTACATTCTCTTTCATTCTATTTGATTTGCATTGTTGATATGTTGATATGACTTCATTATTTAGAACAAAACAGTCATAAAGAAGTAAATAAATGCTCTGATACAACTTCTTTCATAAAAGAAATAGCCCACAGATTACATTTTGCCTATAGGCTATATTTTGCCAGACTTTACCCATCACCATTAGCTATTAGTTGTAGGAAGGAATAGATAGGAAGGACAGAGTTTTAACAATACAAATTAAAATTTTTCCATTGAAAATATAGCCTGTATTATTGATTATTCAAGACAAGGAAATCTTTGGTTTTATTTTTTTGCTTTGTTTTATTTTTTATTTAACCTGTAGCAACACAATCCCTACTGAAATTTTCTACCTCCATCTGCTGGGTAGATTCCATATTTTTTCTACTGACTGATTAATACCACTGTCAACTTTTTTTTTCTTTTTGGGTTACACCTGGCGATGCTCAGGGGTCACTCCTGCCTCTGCACTCAATAATCACTCCTGGTGGTACTCAGGGGACCATATGGGATGCTGGGAATTGAACCTGAATTAGCCACATGCAAGGCAAATGCCCTACACTCTGTGCTATTGCTCCAGCGCCCCGCCCCCCCCCCCGCCCACACACACACAATGTCAACTTTTGAAGAACGTTTTCTCACTTTGGCACCCCAGCAAATCAAATCACAAGTTTCCATCTCTTCTATTAGGATTTGAAATGTCAACAAACATGCATAGATTAATAAAGTTGATGCTTAAGCTAACTGGATTATTAAGTATAGATAATAAATTACCATCTTAAAAAGAATTGCTCTTAGTGAAATCACCGCAAATTTTAAGAAAGAGAAATACTTTGATTTTTTTGTTTGTTGCAGTCCCAAAACTCTGAGTTCAAAGTATTCAAAACTATATGCTTGGTAGAATAAATACCTGACCTACTTAAATTGGGTTGCCATACAAATCAGCATAGACTGGCACAGTGGGTCAGAGGTTCTTTTCTAAAGAAAAAATATCATGTTCAAGGGTGTCATGGATCAAACATGATATATCAGCAGTGGATGCAAAAAAAGAGAAAGGGTAATGCATAGAATAATGAGAAATGAATTTCAATGACTGTCACCAAAGGCTCTCTTCCTCCCATACCCTGATAACATAAAATCCCTTTCCCTCCCAATCTCTTTCCAACATTAGAGAAAAGTCCAAGGGAAGAGAAAACTGAGAAGAACAGGAAGTCACTGAATTAAACTTATGTTAAATTTGGTCAGACTTTTACACCAATATTTAAAACTGGACAAATATCTGTCTGAACTATTCATTTCTCTACCAGGAAGATTTATATGCTTTTGCTTCTGCCTGTATGTCAGCCATCTGCCTCCCGAGTCCCTAAAATTCTCCTTATTCATCACTATGCCTTAAGTATATCACTAGCACTTAGCACAGTATCTAATATAGAGTGAGGACTCATTCATCATTCAATGCTCCTAAACTAACAAAGTGATGCTCTGAATAAAGGAATGGGTTAGTTATGAAAGTTTTCTTCCTAAAACTACTTTAATTCATGTGACTTTCTAGGAATAGGTAAAGCTTTACCTATTCCTAGAAAGTCACATGAATTAAAGTAATTTTATTATTTATTATTTAGAAAAAATAATATTTAGTTTCTGTCATACTTTTGACCCATACCATACTGGCATTTAACCATATATTATTTTCTATTATTCCACAAAAATATATTATTTTCTATTATTCCACAATAACATAGGCATATTTTTGCATTGTATGGAATTGTTTTCTTTTCCAAAGTCTTAATTATTTTAAGAACAGACATTGAAGTTTTGCTTAAGATTAAATAACAAGACATAAATTTCTGAACAAAAATGTTTTAAATTTCATATAATGCTAACCATGAGAAAAAATGCATGATATGGTAGAAACTATAACCAAAACTATCCTTTGTTGATACTCTAAAAACCTACAGGGAGCCAAGTTTAAATGATGTTTGTCTATGGTTTTAGTAAACTGAAGCAAAACACTCTTTCACAGTCATGCTTCCTATTACTTTCATAGATAATGTACTTAGAAAAAGGAAACACATTAAGGAAAGCATGAATAAAAAATGGAAGGTGATGGTCTCAACTACTGTCACTCTTAAGCTACCTTTGTTGCCCGATCACACTAGTTTTCTTTAATGTTTACAGGACATTTAATATGCTGTAATGGGTGACTACTATGAAAATATAAAATATCATTACTGATAATAATCTCATAAAATGATCTTAGTTTTAACACTCAATAAAGAAAGCAGGAAAAGCATGTTTGGAAGATGACTTTTTTGCAGTTTTAGTATATTAAGCTGTGTAAAGGCACATAGTTCAACATACAAATTTTGTTTTTCTAAGCTAGTCTTTTTTCATTCCCTGAATTGAAGATTAACTAAGAAGATAATTGAGTTTTGAAGTAATAGACAATGCATCACTGTGATTTAATAGGTACCTAAATAATTATTTGGGGAATTAGTAATCAAAATACATATCGATTTAGGTACAATTAGAGAAAAATGTGAAAGTTCAACATTTTAGGAAATGTGTCTATCATATATATTTACATTTGCAGCTTTACCTTTTTACACCTAATTTTTGTACTCCAGAAGAAACAATGTCATCTCTTTTCCATTTCCACAAATCATGAAACACTGTATCTGCCCAACATACTTGCATTGGTTTTGTTAGTGTTATCAATATAACACTCACCTTCCTGATTTCCATTATTCTATTTTTCATTGTATTCACAAACTTAAACAAAGAAACACTAGGAACTGTCTAAAACAATACAATTGAATTCCCTGTCAAGCACATATTTTTATATTCTAAAATGATTTTCTTAGAATTGATAGATTTTAATTAAACATTCTCTCTTAATTTACATTTGTTTTATAATTGCCAACCATATTTTAGTCAGTGGATAATGATTTCTTTTCCTTAAGCTGGAATTTGAAAATTAGCTGTGAGTGGTCTTGGTGGGGAAAAAAAAGGATCCAACTCTCACAGATTACATTCTGTAACCAAAGTTATTTTACTTTTAAATTAACTTATTGTCACTTATTTTGATGGTGAGAAATGCAGTGTGAATTCAAGGTAGCTATTTTTCAGGTATGTTTCACATATATACGCTTTCTTCATAAATGAGGACTCCAAGTAATAGTTAGCAAACATATACAGATTCCCACAATTCAAGGTAAAACAGTTAAATGCCAAAGCCGTTTTCTACAATATGTAAAACAGTTAAATGCCAAAGCCGTTTTCTACAATATGCAAATATAACTTTCTTCCTTTTAATTTTGTCATATTCAAATATGTTCATTAATATTTCTTCTTGTTAGACTCAGTGATAAGTACTTTATCATAAACCTTATTGTCGAATCCTGTGAGTGTGAACTTGTCAGAGATAGCCAGACAGGCTTCTTCTCACTTGGGAATTGCCAAAGAGTCCCTTGAATGCAATGGAAAACATATAATAATTCTTTGAGGTAATTCAACACTTGTTCTGGACTAATAAAGAGAGCTAGTGATTTCTTTGTGGACTTCATCTTGTCCTTAAAATTCTGGATTTAAGTCAAATTTCCCCTTTATTTTAAAATATATCCTGAACCTCAAAGTAAATGTGAATCTGACATCTTAGCACATCTTCCCATGATCTAGCCATGAATACTAGTAATTTTGACTTCAGTCATTCTGCTGCTAATAATGAGTGATAACAAAATTACTTTTGCATTATTTCCCCATCCACTACCAGGTACACTACATTCTTATTATCCTCAACCTTTGTAATGGGATAGGTCCTATTTCCATTTAACATTTATACTTTTTTCTTTGAAATTCATAACTTGAAATAATCACATGCAGGTCATTCATTTAAACAGGTACTTGTCATCCAGATTCTGGAAGTTAAAGTTTGCAGCATTAACAATGTCACTTAAAGTAGCAGGTTTAGAACTTCTTGGTTTCATCAAACACATAATCTATAACCTTACATAAAGAAAAAAGTTTTTCAATTAATACACATTATCACATTCCACATAATAATCACTTCCACCTTTTTTTCTCAATTTAGAATCATTATTTTCTAACATTTTGTGATATCAGCCCAGATTTTTTCTTGAATTTCTTCATAGCCTGTTCCAGATAGTGTATAAATGATATTTTTGTAATACACATACAAAGTTTTATCCTTTTATAGCAAACACATGTCACCAAAATTTGCATTGTTTATATGTATCATGCAATACATTTTTCCGTATCTTAATTTCAAATTAAAAACAATGAAAGAAAATATCTTACCCCAAAAGTTTTCTGGCCATGGACTTCCTAAATTTGTTGTGTTATTAGCCATCATATCCACAAGAAGAGAGAGAAGGGAAAAAAGAAAGAAAAACCAATATGAAAAACAATCACTTTGATTCTATATCTTTGTGGTACAGAAAGAGAAAAATAATTTTCACAACCCGTCATATACTTCTGTTTGCATAAAAGGAAATAAGTGTATCATGTTTCCTGCTTTTATACTCAAATTAGCAACTGTTTTTCTTATCTTGGAATTCCACATGGTTCCCGAGACACAAACAATTTCCTCCTCGTCATTTCCTCCACTCAATTACTAAATACTCTCCCAGTCCACCTCGAAACTGCTTACATGATAATAAACTATTTTTCTCCTTCTTTTCCCATTTACAAATGACATGGATAGGACAATTCCAAACTCAGCAATGGAGTTTTAGGTTAAATCAATGTATGAGAGACAAATAGACTGCTTTCCTATGTCAGAATGATACATTTACACAGTAAATTAGGGGGGAAAGTTATTCAGAAGTATATACTCAATGAAAGCACAATTCATTTTTATCTAACATGAATTGTTTTCAAAATCTCAGCCGCTTGTTAAAAAATGAAAGATGTCTTTTCCATTTCTCATCTTAATTTTGAGACATTACTTAAATTCATTTCATAAATATTTTAATTTAGATACTCATTGACTTTAAATATAAAAAAGCAATTTCCACACTGAAGGAGGAACTATTTAAAATCCAGAAGAGGAAACATCGATGACAATAGTCAAGTATTCTCACAAGACAGACAATATCGCAGTAAATTTTTTATTTTGAGAGGGAGATCCGAAGGAAGCAATGACTTTTGCACTGGGTAGTAAATAATGAAAATACTTTTACCCTGTTGAGAATGTCAGAAGGTAGAAAGGAAATGGAATAAAGGAGGGGAATCATGACAGTTCCTACTGGGGCTGTTTGGAAGTGATGAGAGAAAAGGGTGAAAGAATTACATGCAACCTTTGAGATGTTAGCTAGCTAAAAATTTGAATATTCCAAATTTTGTTAGAATATAGAGCAACTTCTCTGAGTGGAAGTCATTGGAAGTAGTTGTTTAACTGAACTTCATTCAATGATCTGGTTTCCTCAATCTTTAGTTAACTCAAACATTGATTATTGAATAGCTCATATTAAAGGTAATTGTCATTAGAAGATGACTTTGTGTAAAATTTTATCTTTTGGGACTTCTGTAACAGATTCCTGACCAGCTATAGTGAACTTTGAAAAGATTAACATGAAGTTTCCCCTCTATTAATTTTTGTAATAAGAATTCTCTGAAACCTGCGTTATTTCTGTTCTTTTTCTTAATATTGATAGATTTATATTAGGTATAAATGCATAAAAAATTAAAAGAGAGACAAAGGAAAATAATAAGATGCTACAGAAAATTTAGAGATTTTATGAAGAAAATATGACTTTGATATTTTAGTCTAGGACTATTTTTTCCTTTTTCACTTACCTTTCCTGTTTTGGGTGCTACAACCAGTAGTACTCGGGACTTACTTTTGCTCTGCACTCACTGCAGATACCTGCCAGGTATCACTCCTGGCAGGCTTGGGGGACCATACCAGGTACTGGGGTCAAGTCCAGATTGATCTCATGCAAAGCAAGCACCTGCCCACACCACTGTCACTCTAGTCCAACCTAGGAGTGTAACAGTGTAATCAGGTGTACAAAAGTCTCATAGTTGAAAAAGTTTGCATTTAGCACAGTGGGTAGGGCGTTTGCCTTGCACACAGTAGACCTGGAGGACCTGAGTTTGATTCCTCCACCCCTCTTGGAGAACCCAGCAAGCTACCGAGAGTATCTCGCCCTCACGGCAAAGTTGGCAAGCTACCTGTGAGGTATTCAACATGCCAAACACAGTAACAACAAGTCTCACAATATTACTGGGCCTGCTCGAGCAAATCAATGAACAACGGGAGGACAGCGCTACAGTGCTAATTTCATTTTCATTTCATTTCATCATCCTGTTAATCGTCGATTGCCTCGAGCAGGCCCCAGTAACGTCTCTTTCATCCTAGCCCTGAGATTATATTCAGGGCTCTTTAGGAGAATGAGACCCATCATTGTTACTGGTATTTGGCATATTTGGTAGGCCACGGGGAGTTTGCCAGACTCTGCCCTGTGGGCAGGCTACATTCGACAGCCTGCAAGTTTGTCCAAAGTAGGAATGAGATAATAAGATGTCTCCGGCTGCCGTAGCCCTGGCCGGGGCGGGGAGGAAAGCTCAACCCGCTCCCCTCCAAGGGACTCCGGGAAGGAACACCGAGGCGCGGGGGCAGAGACTGCACTGCTCTCGTCCGGGATCTGGATTTTATAGTCTCTGAGTCTTGGCCGCTGATGGGATTACACGGCGCCAGGGGGCCAGGTGGTGGGTGTGACCCCCGCCTACTGGAATTTGGAGGATCTGGGTGGAAGATGCTCGACTCCAATTCGAGTAGGCTTGGAGGTCTCGGCCCCGGAACCCGCGTGGCTTTGTCCCTCTGCCAGTACCTTCAGGTGTGCGGAGAGTGGTCTCAGCATGGTGGTGGCTGGTCCTGGAGGTCTCCGGCTGCCGTAGCCCTGGCCGGGGCGGGGAGGAAAGCTCAACCCGCTCCCCTCCAAGGGACTCCGGGAAGGAACACCGAGGCGCGGGGGCAGAGACTGCTGTGTGATAGTTGTTACAGTGCTAATATTAAAAAAATTAAAAAATAAAATTAAAATACCATCTTATTTTCTGGTTTAAAAAGTAACCTAAATGAAAGTATATTAAATACATCTAAATTCTCCTAGAAGTATAGAATGGGCTACTTCAATTACATATATATATTTAAAATGCTATTTTCTTTTATAACTGATCACTTGATTCAATGCTAATTCAAACTGGTTACAGTTTTATAAAGTAAAATGCAGGTGCCCTAAACAACAAGCCAGATGGGTAGGACGCTGTCTAACTTTGTTGAAAAGCCTTTCTCCGGAGCAATAGCTCATTCCATCAGGGCTGGGATACAGGTTGAGACTTCCTTTCATTGTTTCATGTTTAATCATCTAGATATTCTCCCAGTGCATTTTCATTTTAGCAGATGGTCAGAAGCCAGACAGAATCCTTAAGAGATTTTATTTTCTAACAGTTTATGACCCAGGTAGAATTTTTCTTTTCTGTGCACGGCTTGTTAATAGCACGGGTTCTTATCTGTGTACGCGATTTGCTTGCTAAGTGTTCCTACTTTGTCCTGGAAGAGATCCAAATAGTTTATGTCTGCACGATTTTCAAGTCTCATGACTTGCAATTCCAAAACAGGAAATTGATTTTTATCTTCACGAAAATATTGTCTGCACTCTCTTGTCCATTATTTCACAGACTGGGGCCTTAGAGTTGGCTGCTTCAATCATCGTAGTACATGTGAAAGCTGGTTCTCTGAGGTAGTCTCAGGACTTGCCTCCTCTTCACTCACTCTCGGCCACCTCCTTAAAGTTGAAAAATGATCCTCTCTTCTCAAACTTGCAGCGTGCTTTCTCTTTCTTTCTCTCTTTTTTCTTTCTTTCTCTCTTTCTTCCTTTCTCTTCCTCCGTCTCTCCCTCTCTTTCTTTCTTTTCTGCTTTCTTGCTTTCTTTTTTTCTTTATCTCTTTTTCTTTTTTTAATGTGTGTAATCTATTTGAAAAAGAAATTCAGAATTTTAAAGAAATTATTTTGGGGGGCTGGAGCAATAGCACAGCGGGAAGGGCGTTTGCCTTGCACGTGGCCGACCCAGGTTTGATTCCCAGCATCCCATATGGTTCTCCAAGCACTGCCAGGAGTGATTCCTGAGTGCAGAGCCAGGAGTAACCCCTGAGCATCAGCTGGTTGTGACCCAAAAAGCAAAAAATAAAATAAAATAAAAAATAAAGAAATTACTTGGTATTTTTATAAAGTACCTATGTTTATTGTAGAAAAGGTTCATTGATTATTTCACAACTTCAAAGCTTTAAAGATGATCTGAGATGACAATATTTGATAAAAGTGGAGCAAGGGGCCAGAGCAGGTGGGGCATTTGCCTTACACACAGCTAACAACCCAAGTTCCATCCCAGGCTTCCCATCTGATTCCTTAAGCACCCCTAAAAGTGATCCCTGAGCACAGAGCCAGGATCTGGCCCCAAAACAAAACAAAGAAAAGCGGAACCAGTATGTCAACCAATTTGTAAATAATTTTTGTCCTCGTGTACATGGATTTTTAAAATATCTCTAAATTGAACAATAAATTAAAAATATCACTGTATCACACTGTATCACTGTCATCCCGTTGTTCATTGATTTACTCGAGCGGGCACCAGTAACATCTCCATTTGTCCCATCCTTGAGATTTTAGCAGCCTCTCCTTATTCATCTTTCCCAACACTGCTGTATTGAAGGTTATTTCAGGGTCAGGGAAGTGAGACCTGTTATTGTTACTGTTTTTGGCATATCAAATATGCCAGGCTCTGCTATGAAATTAAAAATATAAACAGCAATTTGATTTCTTTATGCCTTTTTTTTCAGTTTTGTTATATGATAAAAAAAAAGTGGTCTGCTTTTCCTTTCTCCTTAAATTCATTGACTTAAACCCATTGATTTAAGTTCAGTGGAGGCATGGAAAAGAAAGATCAAAAGAAGTTATCAGTGGAAAGGGATTTTAGAGTTTACAAGTAGCTGCAAAGATAATTTCCCAGGGCTGGAAGAGGGGTGATATTTTTTCCCAAGTGAAACTATTGGAAGTGATGAAAAGCTCAGAGGAAGGAGTGAGTCCTACATGGACAGTGAGAGGGAGATGGAGAGTCTGGGAACAAAAGCCCGAGGTCTCATGTTTAATCCTGAGGATCTTATTTTAAAACGCGCTTGAATCTGCTGGTCAATAAAAATGCAAAGTACAAGAGTAAAAGAAATTTTCCCACAAAAGAAAATCTGATTCCCTTGCCTTGACTCAGGGATTTTAAAAAATCAATAAGGGGCTGGAGCAATAGCACAGCAGGTAGGGCGTTTGCCTTGCACGCGGCTGACCTGGGTTCAATTCCCAGCATCCCATCTGGTCCCCAGAGCACTGCCAGAGGTAATTCCTGAGTGCAGAGCCAGGAGTGACCCCTGTGCATAGCTGGGTGTGACCCAAAAAGAAAAAAAAAAT